CTTATTATCATATTATCTTGTCGTCGGCTAATTATCTTGACTTCTTGTTATAAGACCTTCAATTAGAACATTCAAGTGATGAGGTCATTTGTATATATCTGGTACAAAACAAAAAGCAGAGCCAGCTGTGATCTTTCTTGTATCTTATAATCTTATGTGAAAGTATCAATAGATGGTTTAAGAACTTTGCCACCCTTTTGCTCTTTTTGTGGTTAATGGAGATATATTATGGAGTAAATTATCCAACTAAGCGCACATATACATATAACATTATATGAATATGTCATGTCAAAGTAGAACATTGTCATAAAAGAGACGTTCTAGAGACTAATCCTATATTCTAATAATATTTTGTATTCCACAGAAGAATTATGATATAGTATTTAGTTTTGATTGAAAGCAACAGCATGGAGTTGTCTATTAATTTTTGTTTTTGTTTATTTTAATTCTTTATTTACTGTAATTATGATCATAGAATTAAATGTGGATATTTAATGGTCAATTTTTCGAAAAGAATTATATTACTTTTTTTGATTATTCATCTTAAATTATAGATAGTTAAATTGACAAATTATTTTTATTAGCTTTTATATCGATTAATGATGATAATAAAAATTGAGTTCATGTATCAAATAAGATTACTTTATTCTTGTTGTTTATTTTTATTGAGATGCTAAAACTGTTACGATAAAATCTAAATATATGTTTTTGTTTCTCTTTAGACAAAGAATTAATCGATTGTTCAAATATTGTTTGTAATAATACATCAATCAACTCATCAATTTGTTCATCAGATAGTCGATTTATCGAAGATCATACTCCTTTATTACGAACATCATTATTCGAATCAAAAGATCTTTTATCAATCTGTTGTGAATCTCGAGGTCATTGTGTCTGTTCAGCATGCCCAGAAGTTATGTGTGGTGAAAATTCCATCATTCAAATATATCGTACGGGCAATTCAAATATTCCGGGACAATGTTGTACTCAATTTAATTGCATTAAGAGTAGGTGAGAATGGGAGGGAATATCTATATATATATATAGTGACTATGACATTCATAATAAACTATTCATTTAAAGATGTATCTCTGTATAAAGTTTCAAGTCGAAATTCGCAAATTAGTTTTTCTTGTGTTTCTGTGGAAAACCCATTTTCAACATATTCATAACTTATAAAGGTGTACAGAGTTTAATGTTGTTTTTTTGTATGCAAAATATTAGTGCATTTTCATAATATAATTTACTGTTAGAAAGTACTTGAAAGAGTTTATGTTGTTTTAGCAGAAAAATAATTTGCTCTTTTACTCCAGATCTAAGTAATGCTATATAAATCGGAATCAATTGGTAATATCAGACAGATGATATCTGTTAAGTAAATATAGATTGTTATCAAATACTTCTAGATAATTCTAAAAGAGCATATGATATGGAGTCGAATAGCAAATTTTTGTAAGTATCGAATTCAAACTTGAAAACACATAAATAATTCTCGTCGGAAATAGATATCAGTTACTGGGTCACATAACATAGTAGATAAATTTTTTGTTATTGTTCTGTTGTTTTGAAAATTTAAGCTAAGAGAAATTTCTAAAAGAATTAATCATATCATAGGATTGTTAAAATCATCTATTATTACTTAACTTGAATATTTTCAAAAGAAAAAAACATGTTGCAAAATTTTTGCCGTAATCGATATATTAATATGTTTAATTTTCTTTTCTTTGTTTGTTTTTTTTATTTAATCAAGATTCTCAACAATGTCATCATGATAAAAAAATCTATAATGAGAATGATACATGGTCAATTGATCATTGTACAACATGTACTTGTCGTGCTGGACATGTTGATTGTGCTATGATACAATGTCCAATTTATACACATTGTGGATACATGTATAAACCAGAAAATGAATGTTGTCCAAAATGTGGAGGTTAGTTATTCTGTTAATCTTGTTTTGATTAGAAAGATAAATTTCTTTTTTAATGTATAATTAGGTTGTTTAAATGATCGTTCTCATGTTCAACATATGAATTCAACTTGGATTGAATCGAATGGTTGTATGCGATGTTGGTGTGAAAATGGTCGATCACGTTGTGTAGCTGAAGGATGTATAGCTCCACCTTGTGAAAATCCTCGTCAAATTGCAAATGTTTGTTGTCCTGTATGTGATGATGAAGATAAAGATAATGAAGAATATTCACAAGATATTGATACAATAACTCAATCTATATCACAAATATCAACTTATAAATGTCCAATATTAAATAATTGTTTACTTGTATGTGAACATGGTTTAACTAAAGATGAACATGGTTGTTTTCAATGTGCTTGTTCAACCATGTCATGTCCAACACCATTATGTACACTTAAATTTGATAAATTATCAAAACAATATTGTTTATGTTTACCACCATTGGGTACTAATTGTCGACAATTTTATTGTGATAAACATTGTCCATATAGTTATTCAATTGATAAAAAAACTAGTTGTCCTTATTGTGCTTGTAATCCATGTCCACAATTAATTTGTAAAAAAAATTGTACTTATGGATTAAAAAAAAATGATGTTGGTTGTCCAATTTGTGTTTGTGAAAGTAATTTTACTTCTAATACAGAACTTGTTTTACATTCATGGCCAAGACAATGTCTATCGGGTTTATTTTCATATTCAAATGGTGAAATATGGTTTGATGGTTGTCGACAATGTTTATGTCATAAAGGTGAACAATTATGTGCACTTATATCATGTCCAACACCAAAATGTTCACAACCCGTTATTTTACCAAATCGATGTTGTCCTTCATGTCCAGGTTGAATTATGATTTTATTTTTGTTTTTATTAAATTAAGTTTCTTTTTTTCTTTTTACAAAGATATCCCTATGTTACCAGAACCGACTCCATCATCACAAGTATGTTATGCCAGTCAATATGTGACTGGTGAAGAACTTGAATTTGATAAATGTACAAAATGTCTATGTTTACATAACATTGCATTTTGTAGTATATCATTATGTCCACCATTTCCTTGTTCATCACCAATTCATGATTCTTCTTTATGTTGTCCTACTTGTCCAACAACATTTGAATTCTCATCAATAATAGATATATCCAGTACAAATGAAGATGTTTGTATACTTGATAATGGTATGATAAAAAATGCTGGAGAATTATGGAAAACAAATGACTGTCAATCATGTCTTTGTCCACGTGATGGTACTGGTCAAATTAGATGTTTTTCTCAAATATGTAATCAACAATTACCGTGTTCTAATCCAGTTCTTAAAAAAGGTCAATGTTGTCCTTTTTGTCTTCCACCAACAGCTGCTGTAGCTGTTTGTATTTTTAATTTTGTACAATATCGTTCGGGTGAACATTGGAATGTGAGTTGAACGAAATTATTTTCTTTTTTTTTTTTTTTTGAATAATTTTTTATTTTGAGACATTTTAGGTTAGTGAATGTCATCATTGTGAATGCTCACTTGGAACAATTGTATGTCACCAACAAAAATGTCCTACATTAACTTGTATACATACGGTGACATTATCCGGTCATTGTTGTCCTATTTGTCGAGATCAATTATATTTTATTAATGATCAAGGCAAAGGTATGTTGAAAAGAAAAATTAAATTTTAAAACTTTTGAAACTATAATTTATATATTTTAGTTCCAATATCTCCATCTCGTTTTGGTTTTTCAATTATAATTATATTTTCAATTCTCATTCTTATTCTTGTAGTTATTATTATTATTCTTATATTCTTTTTATTAAATGCAGGACGTCGATCAATATCATCATCTAATCAAATATCTAATATAAATCAACATTCGCCTAAACTTCATCATCATCCAACAATAATTAATTCCAAATCATCAAGTATGTTTTCTTATCAATATGATTTAATGTTAATACCAAATGACATGAAAAATACTAACCAAATATTATCATCATCAAGTAATATTCCATTAACATCAATTGAACAAATATCAACACATTCAATTATTGGAACAAATACAACAGGAACAAATTCAATAAATAATGAACTTGAACCAATAACATGGAATGAAGATGATACACTCATACTTCACTGTAGTGCAAATAGTAATGATGGTGATTATGAACATGAAGTAATTAGTACTGATAATGAGGAATCTCATCAACAACCGTCATCTAATCAACAATTTCAAATGATTACTGGACCATCTACTATCATCTATGTCTAATATTGCATTTTGAAGATGATGATTATTATTTTTCTTTTGTATATAGACTCTCAGATAGAAGTAGAGATGTTGTTGTACTACAGAATATTGATGAATGGTGAATGAAGTGTATGAAAGCATGAATATTCAGCTTGTCTAACACATCTACACATACACATTAAAATAAAATAAAATAAAATAAATGTTAAATTGAATTGTCATTTATGTTTTAATTATTTTAATTCATTCATTAATCTGAATATTTCTAACAGATAAAGAATTTATTTGAGCTGTTTGAGTAAAAGTCAACACTAATTGAAATGTTTGGATATTTTTCATTTTTATTAACAGTCTATTCGACAAGGATGTGTGGAATGATATTATACTTTTTATATCGAACGTGTATCAGCTGATTGTCTGTGCTTCAATTAAAAAATGCGAAATATGAAAAAGATAAGAAACGAACTATATAGAATGATGACGATATTGCTTGAATAGATTTGCATAGACATATAAATATGTTCTTCTATTGAAAAAGTATATTATCTACATTCTTTCATGCCTAGATTAAAATTCAACGGTCATCATGTCTTTGTCAACTATTGACAGTCTCTTTTCATGTGTGCATCAACTTTTCGATCGATATCATATGACTATTTTTGTATTGACGCCTCTAAGTATAACAATTAACTTTTTAATCTAAATTCTTCGCATAGTTTGATATTTTCAGTAATAGGAATATGGTTATTTAATAAGTTCTGGATAAATCGATTATTGTATTCAAATATACAATCTATGCAAGGTAAAACAGTTCTTATTACTGGTGGTAATGCTGGTATTGGATATGAAACAGCTAAAGAACTTCTTCGACAAGGTTTAATTTAATGTTTCTCTAATGTTTATAAAAAGATTTTTTGTAGGTGCTCGTGTTATTATTGCTTGTCGTAATATGGATAAAGGTCATCAAGCATTAATAAAACTTTGTTTTGAAACTAAATGCAACAAGAAAAATATTCGATTAATGGAATGTGACTTATCTTCTTTCGATTCTGTTCGTAAATTTGCTAAATTATATAATACTGAAGAAGATCGACTTGATGTACTAATTTGTAATGCTGGTCTTATTTATACACCGAATATTTACAGTAAAGATGGATTAAATTATATCATGCAAGCTAATTATCTTGGTCATTTTCTATTAACAAATCTTCTATTAGATAAATTAAAACAATGTAAACCAAGTCGAATTATTAATGTTTCATCAATTGCACATAAATGTGAGAAAAAAAAAGAGAGAATAGAATTATATATTTTTTTTTGTTTATAGATCCTCCAACGACTAAAGGATTGACGGCATTAACAAATTTTAAAACAGATACTATTTGGGGTTCTTATTGTCCATCTAAAGCATGTCAAATATTATCTTCCTACAAATTAAAACATGACCTACTTAGTAATTTTTAAATATTTTTCTTTATTTTCAACTAATTTTTATTTCATTTAATAGGTCAAGATGTTCATGTATTTGCATTAAATCCGGGATGGGTATGGACTTCTTTTCAAGATCCATTACGTCCAGCACTTGGTACATGGCTTTTTCTTATTGTTTATCCATTACTACGTATTCTTAAATTTATTTTTGCTAAAACACCGTATATAGGTGCTCGTACAACTGTCTATTGTGCTGTTGAACCATCATTAGAACAATCAAGTGATTTGTATTATGAGTACGTATTAAATTAATTAATAAATACAAATATCAATTGATTTATTTTTTTTAAGGAACTGTGCTTCTGCTAAACCTATTTCATTATGTACAGATGAGAAATCGGCCGAATATTTATGGAAAATAAGTTGTGAAACAGTCGGACTGTAGTGTCATATCTGGCTTTTGAGTCTTGGGTCACATCAAATTACAGAATTGAACTAAAAAAAGAAATACGAATAACTACTAGTAATTGTACATAAAATAAGATTGTATTTTAAAACACTTAGTAATGATCCTTAAATAAAACTTTTTATTATTAATTATCGATTAATCCAATAATAATAATTCAAAAGATTCTATTAATATCATTAATACAACTACGTAATACTGAAGTAATATCTATATTCAGTAATCAAATGACTAAGATTTCAATAGAAAAACGTTAACGAAAACACGAGTTCAAAATACACAACAAANATCTGTCATCCATTCGCCTTGAAATACCTGTGGTTGAGCAGGGACCAATAGAAATCAAGTTATAGGAAAAACGACTTTCTTAGGGTAAATCAAGGCGAAGAGTTCAAATCTGAGCTGTATTCATCCCCAAATCCTATTGGTTGAGAGTAGCCAATAGAAATAAAGTATTTTATAGAAAAGGTTTGCCAGAATAATTTTGATGTCCACACATTCTAGGATGACTCATCTGTCTCATTCACTTTTTGAAGTACACATAACTCTCGGATTTAAATCCGAGGTTTTCGCATTTATTTTTTCATTAAGTTCTATTTTATTATCAGCCAGGTGTAGAAGATCCACAACCAACATGGACTAGCAATAATACAAATGAAACTCGTATTGCTCTTATTCGGTATTGATGAAAAATATTAAAATTATAAAGACAAAAAAAGAATAATAATTAATCTGATTTTTATATAGATGGAGATCAATACGTTATAATAATCAATCTGTATTCTGTTTGAATGATGAACATCCAGATAAAATATCAGCATTCGGTTGTGAACGAAGTGAGTTTTATTCGAATATGATTATTACATAGTTAGAACCGGACTGGTCGGTTTTCATTAAGTTTTTTATTGATTTCTATAGCATTACGGTTGATCTATTTCGCTCTTTTTTTTTTTTGAACGATTTTAATGATCAAGAGATATGAGAGCCTCAGATCGTGCTGAATGACTTTCGAGCACATTTTTCACGACTACTTTTAACCAACATTCATAAAATCTTACTAGCTATTTTTCTCAGAAAAATTGATTGCTTAATTGATATATGAAGCATACCAACTTTTTGCTGGTTAAGTCAAGAATTTCGACCGACCGATCGAAAAAAAATTTGTATCAGTTCCAACTATGAATTGTTATTAGATTTATTTGTTTTATTTTTTTAAAAGCATCGACTAGTTTTAAAACAAGATGTGATACAAGTAATAACACTTGTCAAAATGAAGGTATATGTACTGCCGTAACCGAGAGAGAACCAATTCAATGTGATTGTACAGAAACACCTTACAGTGGTACTTATTGTACTGATAATTGTGGTTCATTACCTTCACATTGTAAATATGAAAATCTTTCGTTTTGTCAATCAATATATTAATTAATATAGGTCATAATGGTGGTAATTGTACGAAATTAGGCTTCTGTGAATGTACATCTTTATGGGAAGGACCACTTTGTACAGAAGCCATAAGTAAATCTTGTTTTTTGTTTTTTTTCTTTGAAAATTTTATTTTCAAAAAATGTGGTGACATTTTTTTTAGATCCATGTCTTTCAAATCCTTGTCAACATAATGGACAATGCATGCAACTTGTAAGTTTTGCATTTTTATACCATCACCACCTCCTCTAATTCTTCCAAAAAAATCGATTTCTCTGAAAAACAGATACTTCTTTTAAGTAAACATATATAGACATAATCTCTTGAGATGTTTACTTTTTAAAAATAATTTCCAATTTTAATATGTTTCTTCACAATTTATAATGTTTTAGTAGAGATCTCTAGTAAAAAGGTCAATAATTAAATTCAAAGAAGAATTATAAGCGCTAATTGTTACATAATAAAATAATTTTTCTTTACAGTAAAGTTTGAAACGATAGAAATTTTTTTATTGATGAATCATCTTCATTGACTAAACATCTACCGAAAATTTCATGGAATTTCTATGCATACTATCAAAAATCGATTTTCGAGAGAAGGGCGAGCCATCTTAAACATTTATCATTATACATTATTTTTTTAATTAGGGTAATACACCTAGGTGAATTTGAAATTCGTTTATAGATGAAAACTTAAGAAAATATTTAGTTTCATATGTGATTGTGGAGATTCAGGTTGGTTTGGTGAATTTTGTCATATTACTAAATGTAAAGAGAAAATTTTACAATTCTATTCTATATTAAAAATAAAAAAATTTCATTTATAGATCCTTGTCCAACTGACCGCTGTAAGTCTGTTTTTGTTTTGTTTTGAATAACTTATGAAAATTATGTTGAAAATGCTCAAGATCACAGGAAAAGTAGTGGCGGACGTACTTTAATTTGTTATAAAAAACTACTTATGTTCCACATTTGTTCATTTATGATATGCGACAATAACATCAAGTTATATTTACCTTCGATATGAATATTGAAATACAAAAGATATAATGCCAATAGAACAAAACAGAAATATCGAAACAAGTTCATTAAGTTTTTATTTCATCAAATGATCTTGAAAGCTGCAATTCTTCTATTTGATTTTTTCATATATTTTGATCAGATTTAAGTCGAAATCGTGTGCTTCAGAATAACTATGAGCGCACTGGAGCAGTATGTACTAGTTACATCGACCGTTCTGGTTTAGTTTACGAGTTTCATCCAAGGACGAAGTCAGTGGGTGCTAAGGCTCTATCACTACGTGTATTATCTAGTATAGATGATATCACAAAATTGTTCATCAGCGGAAAATGAAATGGATGTTGCTACGATAGACAAAACCAAAATTAATAGAAAAAAGAATCAAAAATTAGTATTACAAGAGTAAACGATCTGAAGAAGTAGTTTTGCTGATATACATGGAAGTTAGATATGATTTGATGTTATCGTCACATACCATATCAAGTAGATCTTCTCCAGATTTTATTATTATGATATTAGTGACAGAATGATGCAATAGAACTTCACTTTTACTATAATTATAACGAATTAAAGTACCTCCGCGACTACTTTCGATATGCCTCAAATCATTTTTTAGGTATGAATAATGGACAATGCAAAGCAGTCGGGCGAGATAATTTTACATGTAATTGTCTAAAAACTGGTTATCAAGGAGCATTTTGTGGTATAAATTTCTCTAATATTTACTAAGGATTAATAAAATTCTGTATACTAAGAGCAAGGTTGTTATGATACAGATTATGCATGTAAAAATGGAGGTTCATGTATAGATAATCAATGTTGGTGTAATTCATTAACAAAAGGTGATTTTTGTGAAATAATCGAAAATAAATATTTATCAAATAGTCAAATACAAAAAGAAACTAGTCCTTTAAAAATATGGTTAATTATTGGTTTATGTATTGTTAGTATTATAATTATTGTTGGTTTAATATATAGTCGTAAAAAATTATTTAAATCACGAGAACATCGAAGAAATTCAATTGATAATGAATTTAATTATAAATCTAATGAAAAACAAAATCATGATAATATTGAAAGTGATTCTGTTAGTATAGCATTAAGTCAAGCTTCACAAAATACAAAATTTATTCAAGAATAATCATTTATTAATAAAAAAATTCTAGATTACAATGAAAACAACCAAAATTATGATTATAAACGAATTGTTCTAATGTTGATGATGATTGAATTTCAGCATCATTTATATGTTGACCTTGATTTGCAACAAGATTTCTAACAACTGTTGATGCTTTTATATCTATTGCAAATTGTTTAGCTGACATTTGATGATGAGTATCACGAGTTTCAGAATGTTGTAAATAAAAATGTGATATCATATGAATAACATTACTTTTACCACAATTAAATGTAATAAGAACAGCATCAGATTGATAGTTTTCTTTCTAACATATCTGATTGAATTAGTATACGTACTGCACTTTTATTGATAATTTCAATAGAATATGAACTATCTTCTAACCATCATTGACGTTGAGCATGTTTCGATGCAGATAGAAAACCATTAACTAATGGATGATTAGGATTAGCTAGTTGTATACCAGCTAATTTCGTCTGCTGTTGATTGTCCATTATGTTTAACAAATATCAGAAAATGCAAATTGAAGAACATTTTCCAATACTCAATCAGTTGTAATAATATGAAGACTAGATTTTATTTGTTGTCATAGTCATCACGATAATTATTGCATTGCCCGGTATATTTTGAATAGCTATTTGATTAGATGGATTAAACTTTTCGAGAGCTAAAGCAGCTCCATTGTGATAAGTTTGCTGCATATCATTATCGTTATTACATGTATCAGGAGTCGATTTAATTGCTACATTAAATAATGGAATTACTAAAGTCGATGTTGGATGAGAATAACGATTACAATGACTTGAATTCTATTTGATTCGTATTACTAGCTGTCTCTAATTGCATATCTAATTAAACAGAATATTTAAGGGTCACAGGAAGTGAGCCAAACATGCTAACCAAAGAAACGTGGTTCACTTCATATAGAGAAAATGAACCAATCAAAATGCGAGTCCTTACTTCACGGCCATCCAACTATTTTCCCAAAACAGGACAATAATACTGACAACCCGGAAGTGCCATTCCCATAACAGAACAATAATACTCACAACCCGGAAGTACTATTCCCAAAACAGAACACAATTGTTCTGTTATGGGAATGACACTTCCGGGTTGTGAGTATTATTGTTCTGTTATGGGAATGGCACTTCCGGTATCAGAGTACCATATATTTAAAATGGGTATAGTATGGACTAATGGACTCCACTTAGGCTCACGCCAACTTTGGCTCACTTCATACGACCATATTTAAGTTTATTTAATTCATAATAGTTTTATTTACTTACTATGAGTTTTTTTGATAGAATTCTAATGGATGTTCATAGTTTTTTAAATGTTCTATTAATCGATCTCTCCATTGATCTTTATATTTACATGATATAAGAAAATCAGGTATCGATAAGTACGATGATGTTCTGAATTTATTAATTTATTACATACTGTAATACCATACTTACATGAAATAGTATGATGTGGTGTATGTGTAAATTGACATGCATGTTCACTATTTCTATTGCGGTCTCGACAAAGTTCTGATCAAGGACAAGGATGTGAATATTTTTCATTATGCTCTGCTGAGTTTTCATATTGTAAAAGACAAACATGATCATCTTTATAGAGCTTTAATTGCTTAGAATTTGTTGAACTATTTATAGTAAATACATAAAGAATATAGTTAAATGTATTACAGCTATATTATATCAATAAGTCTTTGAGTTTTGAAATCGCATACAATTTATATTTTTTTGGAAATATTCTTCAGTCTTGTCAAGCGAATATGAAATAGTTTCATTATTTTCTTTTTCCCCTCTCACAAACACCTTAGCAACATTTCCCCTCCTCCCCACTCCTCGCATCACAGACCAGAGGTCTCCATGGGTCGGGTTGATTCGAGATCTCAATGGGTGCGCTTATAGGTCAAATTTTTCAATAAAATAGAAAATTTTCAAAAGAAGTTATGTATTTCGACTAAATTTCTTTAAATCCTACAATATGATCATCAATTATTTCACATACAAAATAATATACATCCGAACGGATGAAATTTCTTTTGAAACAATAACCATGGGCATATGCTGTTATTAAAAATGAACAATCAAACATATCTTTATATTGGAAAGTATTTGAATTTCCATCTAAAAAAAAATACGAGGGCTGTCCAAGGACTAAGAAATAGGAATTTCCCCTTAGTCGAAAGTAGAGAATGTTTTTTTAGTTGAAATTTTAGATATCGTTCTTTTTGGCATCTCTGCAACACATCTAAAAGGATAACAAAGAAATGTATTCCAATATAGATAGAATAAAATAATCTTTCTGTAATTAGTAAGTACAGCTGTTTCATATTTCACATTTCAATCTCGTAGAAATTGTACTAATAGCTTTTTTTGAAAGAAAAACGAGTTCATAAAAACAAAAGAAAGAATAGTTGTCCAAGCATGAGAAAACGGAAACTTCATAATCTATCGACTCAATGTTTCCAAAGAGTAACTCGTAGCGATACAGAAATGAAATATTATTTATTATAAATAAAACAAATTTACTGAATGTGTTGCATCCTTGAAAATTATGTTGAAAGTAAGTATTTTATATGACGAAGTTTGATTCAACGGAAGAAATACCAACTTACACTAAAAATAATCTATTCTGTGTAAAAGATGACTCAAAAAAAGAATGAAAAAAAAAATTTAAAAATTGTCGAAAACTGTTTATGCAAGAGTCAAAGACAGCCGTGTTTTGTGTCAATAAAAGAATGTTGAAATTTTTTTCCATAAAAAACAACAGATTTTCGTAATTGTTATTTATTAATAGGTAGTTTTACTCAAACATATTTATTAAGAATTAGATCCTCTTTTTCAAGCAATAAAAATGAAATCTCAGCAATAATTTTTTAGTTTCATAGAATATCAAAGACCACAATACAAAAGAAAGACCGCTAATAATTAAGTGTAGAACCTTATTCAGGCTTCAGAAAAAAGAAATTGTCGAAATTTCTATCAGCTCGATAATCACATATCAGTGCAAATCAATAGTTTTTAGAAATATCGAAACTTTCAAAAGTTCTGGTAATATAGAAAATTTCTTAAATTTCGGAAATTTACATAATTTTGGAAAGTACCGAAAAAGTTGAAATATAAATGCTTCCGAAATTTCCTTTTTTTGGAAACCTGAACACTGCTGCAGCTTTGTATGATTCGAACTGATCATAAGTAATTATTTTTTTCCAGTTTAATTATTTGCCTTCTTGTCAGGGTTGCCAAATCCAAATTTCTAAAAGCAGAAGTTTCTTCCAAAAAAATTAGGAGTTTACCAGCAGATTTTTATCGAAGAATCAGGAGAAAATCTTAAATACCAGTTCCTGATACCAGAAGATTTTTTAACCAAGAGAAAAGTCTAAAAACTAGGATGTTCCTGGCTAAATCATAAGGTTTAGCAACATGCTTTTGGTGGCTCTCCCATGGGCAGTAGTAGCAAGGTAAGATAAATGTATTTCATCGATTAGTCACATTTCAATGAGAAAATTTTCGTGTCATACACATGCGTCAATAAACAATGAAAACATGATTTGAATAAAAACATAAAAGAAGGGACAAAAGGTGTATGACATCATTAAGGGAGCGATATCGGATGGGAAGTTTGCTACCTATACGTTATGGATATGATACATCATTAATAATATATCTGGACTATTTCCTAACCATGGTGCTTCAATATGTATAAATACGATCTATGCATTGCTTTAGTTTTATCATAAGCTAACGTTATCCAATCAAATAAACAAGCAACGTCGATTAAGAAATATCGTATACATAACTCAATTGACGATAAACAAGCATGCACAAACATATCTTTATCTGCTTCTTCATCGCTGTCTTGGCATTTATGTTCACCAATGGTGTACCATTGGCAAAAAATGATGATAAAAATGATTTCAAGTCGCTTAAATTAACTCATCGTAATGATTCTGATTCGAGTGAATCTTCTGAAACAATCTATGTGAATCGTCAAGATAATGGAGATGATCATAAACACTTGAGCAAACGAGCAGCTTTCACAACAGATCAACGAAAATTTCAGAATGACATGCTATATGCACATAATTACTATCGTTCTTATTACTGTGCTCAAGCTCTTCAACTTGATGATACACTTAGTCGTTCAGCACAAAACTTTGCTGAAAAACTTGCTTACGCAAATCAATTTTATCATAGTGGAACACAAGGTGTCGGTGAAAATCTCTACATGGCAAGTGGCATGACAATTAATGGTAAGTCATCTTCAAATCATTAGACATATATATATATCATATGTGGTTATTCTACCATTGCAGGTTATACAGCAGTAATTTCTTGGTACAAGGAAATTCAGAAGTACAATTTTAATAGTGGAGGCTTTTCAATGGCTACGGGTCATTTTACACAACTCGTGTGGAAAAGTACGACAAGAGTCGGTGTGGGTGTTGCTTATGGTAATGGAGGTCGTTCTGTCTATGTTGTTGCTCAATATACACCTCCAGGCAATGTTATAGGTCAATTTCAAGCTAATGTTCGTCCACAAGGCAGTTGCTGAATTGATTATTTCTATTGATAATCTAGAAATTGAAAGAGGACTCGTGATTTTATCTATTTATACCTACTTTTTTTAAAACTCTTTAATCAATAAATTACAGTAAATCTATATCATGTGTATTTTCTGCAAACTTAATCTAACTTCTAATACTTTTGATTTTTCGTATCACTCTAATATTTTGATCTGTTATGGATATGGCACTCACATCTCATTCGATTATTTCTATGTGGTCGCTTCCTTAAGATTCCTCTGTCAAAAATATCGACTTTTACGCTTTCTACTTTCGAAATCACTATTATTTTTAGTGTTTACGATGATTTTGAGAGGTTTTCTGATGAAGTTTTCAAGATTTTCAAGGGAATTCGTGAAAAATTCACAAGCAGAAAACGTATTCTCTCATGAATCGTTCTACAAATAAAAAAAAACCCTAAATATTCAAAGTTCAACATTGTTTATTGTTTTTCTCAAAACTAGCTTTTTTGTTTTTTTGTTCGTGTGTCCCATATTTCTGAGCCATTTAACGTGCTAGAAAACTCGGGAAGGTATTTAATTGAAGAGAAAATTGTTCTGAACAACTTAAGAGAATCGGATTTCTTACTTTTGACTTAGTTTTTTTTGAGAAAAATGAATCTTTTTTCACCGAAGTATCTCGACTTTTTCGAACTTTTCGACAAATACTGACACAAAAAAAAAAACAAAGAAAAATTTGAAAAATTGGACTCTGTCTAGTTCTAGTGGCAAGTGTTAGCTACATTTTGACGCCTACTCAAAATCTGTATCATTAAATTTCGGGGAGATATCTGAAATGCATGGAAACTTACTTTTTGGCCCTTGATATAGGAATAACTCTTAATGAACTCAATATTTCGAACTGAAAGTTATACTGTGAGCTTCCTTGGCCTGCACGTATATTTCCTGAAATTTTCAGCTAGATCAGTTGTTCTGGGACGAAAAAAGAATTTTGACAGGGAGAGGGGCTCTTAAGGATTTTCTTGTCTTCTGTTAGTTCGGCATTTTCTCTTGTGTATTCGTTTATTGTTTCTTTTTTCCAATATTTCGTATTAGAGATAACATAGAGAAGAATCGAATAATTGGATTGTTCACATGATTGATTGAGAATTCTTCTCCAGAACGTATTGCTTGATGGTAAAAGAAATTAATTTTCATAATTTAATAAATGAGTTATACTTTGACTGTGTGATTATCTGCAGATAAACTTTCAACTCATTGATTCTACATGAGAATCTTGATGATAAGGTTCAATACATTTCTACAAGTTCTTTTTTTCACAAATTAAGTCACTATTCTGATGTCATTCGATGTTGTAGATTTCGATTTTGAGAAACAACATTTCTATTCTTTGTATGTCACTGTAATATACATACCATATAACTGCTGCGGGAAAGAAGCATAAATTTTTGATACTTTAATATTGTTCAAAATCATCACTAGAGAAAGAATACTAAAAGCATTACTGTCAAATCCATTGCAACAATTCATAACGAAATTAAACTTAACATAATGAAGTGCGACTTTTGTCTACTGCGATTATAGGCACTCATTTGTAGGTTTTTTCTTAATGACATCTGCTGAAGAATGATCTTGCATGATATTGATATAAATTTCATAGCAGTGCACAACAATTCGATCGGTGAGAAAAATTATGGTTTCAAATGGAAATAAGACGTTTGGATAAAAAATGCTTTTCTTTTCACTGTGACAGATATCGAAAATGTCCGCGTCCGCAGAGATATTCGTTGTATAAACATAGATATATTGATACAGAACCGATGTGGACAAATTCAAACGTAACGGAAAAATGCTTTTCACTACGGAAAAAAGTTGATGAAAAAGAAAGAAAAGTGTCTCTTATCTATCTAAATATATGTATATAAATATATTTTATAGAAACTAGCATTATTCTCGTTGGGATTCGGTTTTTTGCTATTAAGTGTATAGAAGAGTGAAGGTTTAAAACATTTTCTTCTCATATATGAACATAGATTCATTGTTTGAAATCATTGTTCCTGTGGATATCATCTGTTTCGAGACTAGATGACTAATGTTCAGATGTAAGAGTATCGTGTCGTAGATTTTAGTGCTTCCTATTGAGAAGGCAGCCATTTTTGATCCGAACATCTTTTTCCGCTTGTAATCAGAGTTTTTGTCACCGATCGAATACTTGTCCAACCCTCCCTAGTCGATAATGTGGCATTTGTTGAACAGGATTGCTTCACACGTGAAGTGAATTTTCTTCTATGAGCGTTTCTTATCACTGTACTTTTTCGCTTAAAAAGCAGCTACCTGAAGGCATTATATTTTCCAGCAGAATTATTTTTCTCGCTATGCGGTCTCACTAAAACAAAAGATACCGAACAAGAACGATTGATTCGTTGTAATACAAATAATTCGCTGGACGAACATATATTCTTTTACAGTTATTGGCAAATTACTTTGTAAAACTTCATTCATCATATTTATTCTACTCTATGTTGTGTTGCTTTCGTTCGATAGGAGATAGTCATATCACGTCTTAGGCTACTCTTGTCTTTCCAATCTTTAGTCGATGTTGTTGCTTTTCTCTTTAAATAGATATAAAGGATTCTGCTCGTGTTTTGCTAGTCAATCAATAGATTCAATCTTTCTCTTCTCTTTGCTATTTTTCATTGCTTCACTCATAAGCGAGGAAAGATCTCAACGTGTGATCTTGCTTGTTTGCTTATCTTTTAAACATAAGTAGAACATTACATCACTATAGGAAGAATACGCTGATTATTTTGCTTGGGTTTTCCAGCCAAATTTATTATTGTTTCATTGATTTTGCAATGTATAGCACAATATAACGTTAAAAAACAAATAAACGAGTTCCAATGACAACTTACAACGATGAAGAGATAGTAAGATCGCTTGAACAACACAAACTCTCACTGATAACACCTACCATAAAGTTTTCTTCTTTGTATGTGAAATTAACTTTGAAAATGCGGAATATTATTTCTCTATTATTTACATGCGATTGCTAACATGTGTTGAATTTTTTATGTTAGAATTTGTCGGATCAAAGTTTTCTGGACCGCACCCGATTAGTCTAAAAATTTTGGGTTTAAACTCGGATGCTGGTACGATCCGATCGGCTCTAAAGATGGATACTGCTATTCAAGTTGTCGCGCAACGTAGTGTTTCATCTAAAGGAACTTGAAAACATAACTAATTCCATTGAATTTGGAAAGCAACATTGAATAATATATATTTGTTTAGGGTGTGGATGTGCAAATAAAGTGAGCAGAACATGTATATCCACATCAATATCCTCATCCACACCCGAATTTTCCTAACACGTTTCAGAAATTAAATACGCATAAATCTTTTTTTCAGTGTTCAATTTTTATTTCTGACAGTTTTGAAAATAAAAAATGAATCGATAATGTGAATATAAAGCAATAGAATTCATTCATTTATTCTGAAATGTTTCATTCAATGAAATCATATAATATATCCAACTAATTCAATTTGAAAATAGTTCAGATTTCCACGATCCAGGTATTGTCCGGTGTTATACGAAGAAGTAATATTAATTATTAAATTTGTCGAGCTATTATTTTCTCTACTGTTCCATGGAACGATCAATTCTTGTCTATGTATTGTACCATGAGCATCAAATGTATGCTGAAGATAAGTGGTTTTCTGATCGGCATCACAATTTTCTTGATAAGCATCAAATCCCAGATAGGCATGTTGTTGTGGATGGTTATAATGTGAAACCAATGCCGACACAAGAACTGCTTTAATATTTTCATTTACTGGCAGATAATTTAACAGACTAACAGGATATACCATAGTCGTTATATGTAGTTGAATTTTCTCTAGTCCTGGTATAGTCAACTGTTTTTTAATGATTTTCTTCATGGCTTTTTTCTCAAGAAGTTCAATTTGACGGGACAACATTTCAATGCTTTTATTATTGCTTGCGGAGTTGTTGACTTCTGAAATTTATTAAAATTAATATTTAAATTTCGAATCTCATGTACTTTGTACAATTTCGAAAAATAGCTCATGAAAAACTCTAAAAAATGATCCTAGATAATGGATAAAATTTTGATGAGAGTTACAGGATGCAATATCAAGAAGGTACGAACAGGTTGCAGCATTAACATTCTTATGTTTGAATGGATTGGTCAGATTCAACCATTAGTCCTAAATTGATACATTACCTAGCTGTTTGATCAGTTCAATGCTGTCTTTCAAAATTGACTCAGGAACATAAGTCATGAGCTTAATATTCGAAGAGAATACACAAATAATGAGCATTTCAAACAGTTTAGTATGTATGTCATCTGTACGTTAGAGGAGATAAAGATTTACAAGTAACATTATTATCAGAAAGCTAGTATATCAAATGTATTTTGTGCTCTATTGTTTTCCATTCAAGACATTGAAAGAGTGGATAGAAATATGCGGTTATAAGGTAAGGAAATGTTAGCACATTCGAATAAGTAAAGAGAGTTGAGGTAAGATAAGAGAAACATGCAGAGGGACATGTATCTATATATTATCCAAGAAAAGTGCAGAAAACAAAACAAAAATCGGTCATATACAATGTTTTTTTTTCGTTTTGCTTATCGGATATGATTTGATGATTCGGTCTGTTTAGTAAAATGTTCTCTGACTCGACTATGAAAAGTATTCGTATTCATATAATATTCTTTTTATATTAAGCATTGAGGAAAAAATGTGTTTTGAACACCAGAAAAGGAGTGAAATGAGCACCAGATCGATGAAGTGTGTTTTGAGCACCAAAAAAAGAGTGAAATGAGCACCAATTTTCTCTATGTGTGAAATGAGCACCAAAAAATAAGACAATTGAGCACCAAATGAAAAAGAACCAATAAAAAACAATAGAAATTTAATTAATTATTGTATCAAAGAAGGAAAAGACTCGTATTAGACACATGGAAAGCTGCTATATTTTGATATCTTTTATTAACACAGATTAATTTATGAAGGCGAGAACCAGAGTGAGAGTGAGGGTGAGTCAGGGCAAGAACTAGACTGAGGGTGACGGCNGGCATATATCATCATATATACCCACCAAATTTGGTGATTGGAAACGTTATAGATGAATAACAGCATGATTTAAAAAAATAACGCCTACAGTGGTTCCTATCGCTGGGTGGTAGAAATGAAGTCCTTATTTCTCAGCAATGGAAAGGTATTGAACGTTGAAAATTTTACCATATACCTAACTTTAGTAGTACTATCTATTGCTTTAATCAACATCAAAATCGGAGAAAGTGATTGAGCAACGTAGATCGTGGTTCTGGTGCAATGACTTCTAGGCAGGCTGCAAGAGTTTTTGCTCACAAGAAGCAAAGTGCAATACATAAACGTGAACTGCTTTTTTTATCACTCTTCCTGATTAGCCTTCCACAGACAGATCATAGAGCGGTATCAAGAAATAGAAAACCAGACTGCTGTGTTTTTTCCACTTTTAGTTCGTATTGTCTTGCATTTGCCGTTCAAACTGAAAATGTTCCGAAAGCATTATTATAATTATTGCTTTTTTTTTGAAGACCCACTAGAAAATCCAATAGACGCATGTCAGTGAGTGCATAAAAGTCTACAGTATTATTTACCTGTGTGATCCTGTTGAAATCAAAGCTGTATGTATTTAAGAGAGGTTCAAAACAGCGGTTCGTCCTATCATTGATTGTCTTCAATCAAGTCTATTTACCCAAGCGAAGAAGAAAAGCTTTTTTTTTGAGTCGTTCACATTTTATTCATTGTGGAGCGGAAGTTCGAATAAAATATAAAAGGCAATTTAAACTCGTAAGAAGAAGACAAGCAGATCGATTTTCGAAATGCTGTAATACGTGTCAGGGACACGATCATTGCCGACATAGTCAATGAGAGCTATAATGATGAGATATTGTTGAACCCATAAAGACATGTTCAGTATTTCAGATTGATTCGAAATAAAAGGCATTGCCCGATTTAGTGACTTATCTAGTACTGGATACCATATATACGATTTTGTAGAGCTTTTCGCGACGCATCGAATGGTGTATAAGAAATCAAGTTTTTCTCACATTTTCATGTGCTGAGAGCCCATATACTGGTTATAATTCTTGAAAGCATATATATGGTACTCATAGACATTGTGGTTCCTAGAATGCTTCAAGAAAAAATGCGAATTTCGTTTTCAAACTCAATTCGATACAGTTATAGATGCTCTTGAAACTTTTTAGTCGGTACTTTTCATCGCTACTTTTTATAACTGAAAAAGGCCATCTCCCATAGGCCGAGACTATTTATTGACTATCTAACATTCCAGTGCGTTCAATCCTGTGCAACAGAGCAGCTGAGTTTCAGCGTGAAACTTTCTCAAAAACCCCACACTATAAGTCGGGAACAGTCTATAAATATCTTACGTTAACGTAAAAGCTAAATTTTCCTTATTCGCGTACTTTCTCCAGGGGCCCGGTGGTGAAAAGGGTTTTTATTTTCATTCATAAAGAATTTATTTATGTCAATTGATCGGGAATCCAGCACTTGTTATTGATAGATAACAATCTTTGATAGGGCAGCTGATTATTGTTAATATATTGTCAATATACTGGTCCATTCATGTAAGAAAATCAGCTATTCTATTAGAAGAATGTTGCATGTTGGTAATCAGTTCTTACTGTTCTGATAGTTTTATCTCTGAAACATGTAGAGATTAATAGTGTGCAGTTTTTCAGAAAGTTTTACGCTGGTACTCAGTTGCTCTGTTACACAGGATTGAACACACTGGAACGTCAGATAGCCAATAAATAGCCTAGGCCTATGGAAGATGGCCTGTTTTTAATAATAAAAAAGCAGCGATGAAAACTATCGGTTATAAAAATGCAAGAGCAGCTATAACTGTATCGAATTGAGTTTAAAAGCAAAATTCACATAAATTTACCCTTCAGTATCTTAGGAACCACAATGTCTATGAGTACCATATATATTGATCAAATATTATAACCAGTATATGGGCCCTCAGCACATGAAAATTTGAGGAAAACATGATCTCTTATAAACCATTCGATGCGTCGCAAAAACCTCTACAAAATCATATCCATGGTATCCTGGTACTCAAGATAGGTCACTGTATCTGACAAGGTCCTTCATTTCAACAAGAATGAGCGAAAATTATTTTGAATTTATTTTGAATATGGGGACAGGAGAGCAAAGTATTTTAAAAAACCAAAAAGTAGCATACTTTCAATCAGTTTTACGAACTCTATCATATAATCAATGATTCGACCAAATCTACAATCTTTGCTCGATTTTTCAATTTCCAGCACCTTAAAATGGAACATAGAACCGATTGGTACCATTTTAAAAGCACAACATATCATGTTTACTATTATGTACTTTAGGCCTATTTTGACTGCTTTACCGAAATTATCCCAATTTAGGCGTCATTTTCACAATATCGTCTCATGGGATGAACATATAGAGCCTGACTACTCATTCACATGAAAATTTTTATACAAAGTAATCAGCATCAGGCAGTTTAGTAATACTTTATGCAATGGTGCCAATAGCACTTAAAAGTATCTTATTCATTATTATTTACAGTTAAGTAATTATTTTTATATAAATTACTAAAGTATGAGTGTGGCGTTTCACTTACAAGAAGTTACTTACAAAGTTTCTCTATTTAGTAGTTTAGTTACTTTATGTAATGAAAGTAGAAGTAACTTGTAGTAACTATTTCATCGACCTTGTCATTCAAGACATACGAACATTTTTATAAAAATCTTCTCATAAATCTTAGGCTTATTAAAACTTGAGAGATTCACATCTTTGCCCTTATCAGTAGTCATTTACTTCTCAGCTCTATAAACAAAATTTTGTTCACCTGACATAGGTCTTTAATTATGCCTGATGAAACAATACTCTGTGGCGCACCCACAAAAAATGAAAATTGTCACGCAAATTTTCGTGTGGCTCTCTGAAGTTAAAGCTGATAGAGAAATTATGACAAAATAGAAAATTTTAGAGCAATTTCGCGGGTAGGGAACCGTATGCTGATTGTTTTGATAGCAGGTGGGTGTGGAGTGTGGGGTGAGGGCGTGGGTAGATGTGTGGCTGTCAGTCGATGGAATATGTACACCTTCACGAAACCCACACCGAGACCCACATGCACACCCCACCCACATCCACACTCACACCCGTTATGTGCAGGGCGTACATAATATAATATAGACTACATACACACTAAAATAACATGTATCGTATTTATGCGCCGCTGGTCGTAGTGTCGCAGTCAGAATATGTCATACTGGAGATGTCTTGTGGTCTATCGTTAGCTATTCGTTCATCGTTTTATTTTGCGCGTGCATCTGCATATGAGCAACTCTATTGAACATATAGAACTTATAGATTTTCGTATCTCTTTTTCTTCTAGATGATTTCTCGATTAGTCATTTTTTGAAAAGGTGCGGAGAAATTGATCGAGAAAGGACTGCCTTGAAGCAGCCTGATAGAGATTCGATCGACTTGAGGTGGCTAAATCTTCAGATCTTATCGTCCGAATTTCCAAGAATAGGTATTACTAATTCGCAGTAAGCTGGAAAAGTAGTCATTGTCCAAATTTTCAGAAGAAATATAATTGACATGCCGAAAAATAGATTCGAACCACATTTCAAGAATGTGTCGCAACGAGCAGTTCGTATCGTTCTTAAATGCGTCGTACATTATGTCGCAAGCTACGGCATATGCAACATATTTTATCTTGCGTGTACAATTTCTCATAATCAAAACTTGAAAAGCACTTATTGCTCAATCTTAGATTCTCTAGCTGA